TTCATACGTGATGTCATCTATTTCGTATATTACATTTTCACGAGTTATGGTTTTCAAATCTATGAAACAACTATGATAATCTTCATGCATTATAACTTTCTTATTTATATAGGATTTGACATCTTTCGTCTGTTTGAAATTTTTTGACTTTCAACTTCAATATTATATATTTTACTCCGTAGGCCAATGAATACCTTCATAATATTTTCATTACATTGATCTTTTCTTATAAACAAAACTTTTTTCTGTATTACAGGCATATAAAATCGATTTTCAATTAGATTCTGAGCCATATCAATTTTATTGCAATCTTATTTCATAATCCCATTTATACCAACATTTTGCATTTTTTATCGGAGACTGTCAGTATAAGTAAAAATTAGCTTACATTATTTACCGATTCTATGCTTCATATACTCATTAGTGAAACCCATAGATATATATGTCTTTGAAAGGTCAAACACACAAAGATCTGTGTATATTGATTTTCTAATGTTAATAGTTGTCCACGATAAATGTATTTCAACTAAATTTTTGAAAGGTAGAGCTACTCTGGAAGCTATGTTGTTCAATTCGCGCTTCTCGATCATATCGATCAAGTCTTCGATTGACTAATTTAACGTCTTTTCATTTTCTTTCGTTCTTCATAATCAGCTTATCACCAGCTTATTAAATAATTTTTCAAATTCATTCAAGCGTGCTTCCTTTTTTCTTTATTCAAATCTATATAAGGTTTGGTCCGAGGTTTTTATTGAATTAAAACGCTCTATGAATTTTTCTGAGTTTTAATCCAAACTTCAGAGCCTGTTGTAGCGCTCGATAATGAAGAACATATCATTCTTCATCCTAAAGCTTTGTCAAATTTTTTTCTAAGTCTGTCAAATCATCTTCAGCAGGAAAATCTTAGATGCAGCGTTCTCAAAGATAGATTTTTTCAATGTGTAGTTATTTTAATTCTAACAAGAGCATATAAATTTTCTATCCAAATATAATGGAATTCATTGAAAATGGTTCTTCATTATGAATATTTTTGTTTTTGTTATCATATTCATCAATACACACAATTTAAAGTAAAAGAAAATAAACGTCTGGTTTATTTTAAACTAGTTAAATGAGATGGTGACACTTCAAGTTATTTTCCATATTTTTTAAGAATATAAACATTTATAGACATATAATTCAACTTTTCAAATTTTAGAATACTTTAGATTCTTTTAAGAAATGTTATACTACGAGGATGGGCCAATAAGTTCTTAAAAAAAGGTAGACTAACAATTTTTTCAGAAATAAATGATTCTGGAAACTCCTCAAAAAAACCTTTTGTTTATGTTATATTCTCCTTGTTCGAGATGAATCTTTGTCCGACGAGCCACTTCTTTTATATTTGGAAATAAAAAAAAATCACAGAAATTCAATTCTTGAGAATACGGTGGATAGTTTACTGATTCAAACTTCAATTCCTCAATTTGGGCCATTGAAACTACGCAAGTGTACACTAATATATTGTCTTGATGAAACAGAATATTTTTTTGTTGAAATGAGGAAGCTTTTTTTTTATTTTTCTGCTTAATTGGTTCAATAATGACAAGTAATACTTCTCGGTTATTGTTTGTCCTTTTTCTAAAGAGTCGATAAAGATCATCATCATCGCGTGTATCATAAAAAACAGTAGCCATAACCTTGCCGGCCAATTTCGCTGTCTTCGCCTTCTTCAAAACTGAGTGACTTTTCATAATTCACCGTTTTGACTGTTTCTTCGTCTCGGGTGTGTAGTGGTGTATCTATATTTTGTGTACCGTTATCAATCAACGCAGAAAATTATCCAGATTACGGTGGATGCGTGAAAACAGGGCCTCAGCGACTACCATATGACTGCATCTGTTCTCAGCTAAGAGGAAACGCGGCACCCATCTTGCTGAAATTTTTCTCATGCTACATTTTGAAACTCCTGTGGTCTCAACTATTTGGCTTTATTTTATTCTTTTATCACTTAACACCATATTGTGTATTTTATTGATAATTTCTGGAGTCCTCTCGTCTATAGGACGGTCTGAACGATTTTCGTCTGCAGTCGATGTTCGATCACATTTAAATTCATTTACTCAATTGTAAACAGTTGCAAACGTAGGGGCATATACGAGTATACAATCAATTGCATCTAACTCAGCTTTGATTTATTCCGGTGTAAGATCTTTTAAATAGAAATGTTTTATCACTACTCGGAACTCACTTTTTCCATTATTAACAATGAGGAAATGTTGTTCACTTTGATTGACGATAAAAACGAAACCACTTGATGGATCTGTTGGAAACCCTAGAAGCACTCTACTTCAAGGTAACACCTACTAATGCAATGTATGTTATCGTGCATTATGCGTCATCTCTTGGAATTTCTAAGGACTTATTGATCCAGCATTATAGAACTTTGTTGTCACATCGTAGCGTATCGTTGTCCCCAGACCCCTGGCTGAAACAATTTTACGTACAACTGAGAGGGACTGTTTCCGCCGAAGTCAATTAGTATCGTTATCTCAAGACCTATGGCTCAGATAATTCTACACTTGACTTTGACTTTATCCAGGACGACTGGCTAGATCGTAATTTCAGGGTTCTTTTAGGAGTTTAGCGGGATAAAACCTCCCGAAAACTCACGGGAATATAACAGTCTTTATAGTCATCAGCATAAAATAGGTGAGAAACCTCCTGTCCTTTTAATACGTCCTTTAGCTCCTTCACATACAAATAAACAAGAATGGTCTCAATATCGAATCCTGTGATATCCTTGAATTGGTGCCCCGCCAGTTCGAGCTTCCACTCTTTCAGTGCTACCAGCCAGGTAAGAACCTCAGCCGCAGAAGAGTAGATCCAGAGGAGGTAGGGGTGTAAAGCCTGCACAAAAGTTTTAAAGGTGATATGGTGTCAAATGCTTAGCCAAAGTCAAACGGTAGAAAAATTATAATCTTCTTTTTGTCAATAGCCATACATTAAAAATACATGCAACTGTAACTTATAGTCTATTGCTTGGTTGACATACAGAGCAGCGTATAATAGTTAATGCAGAAAAGAAAAACTCTTTTTCTTTTAATTGAATTATGTTTCTTGAAAAATAAATTCATCCAATAAAACGATGCTAAAGATTGAATCAAAGTGCTTCCCCACCACACGCAATGACTTTCTACGACGCCAGTTGATCATTTAACCAATACCAACAGATTAACCAAATACTATCTTTAAAAATAATGTGTCCCTATGAGAACGCTAGCCCAGCACAGGTATCTGACCCTTTTATCCCGAAACGTCATATCCTTTATACATTGTCCTAAAACTTACATTGCTTATCTACTGAATAAAAAATTTTAAATTAGAAAGTTTAGTAAAAAATTTACTGATTATAATGTTTTAGAATTCTGCAATAAATGTATAATAGTATATTAACAAGAATAAGAGTACATGGGAATTACCAATGATATAGAGTTTCATCTTGAATGAAAAAATAGATGTGAAAATAAATTTTTTATCCGTCATCCATATGCGACTCATAAATGAGAAAACTAATTGTAAGTGAAGGAGATAAGCAAGAAAAATTTTGAAGCCATCTTTATTGTCCTTTAAAACTATTATAATAAAGATATCGTTACAAAACGTGTTTTATTTTGAAGTGTGCAACGATAGTTTATTCGATCAATCGATACGTGCGCGATTCGGTAGTACTCGCGATACTAGAGCGAACGTTTAAGAGAGAGAGAGGGCGTACGTAAGTTCAAAGTTTTAGTTAAGCCTCAGCTGTTACTTGTAGAGTACCGCCAAATAGTTCTTCCACTGTGATTTGCCGTTTTGCTAATAAAAGTTTTTCTGGGATTCATTTGGATACGTACGTGAGTAATCGCAGAAAATAGAATAAGCAGCACCAACAAGTAGTTAGCAGCATTAATTGCAGCAACAGAAGATTGGAAGCGAACGAGGCAGCGCAGCTGGTTCCAGAGGAGCACCTTTAATTTCGCTGAAAAAATAATTACAGCTGATCACCGTAATTACACCACAGGGTATGCGCACCTCCCTTTGTCTGCGTAACAAAATATCGACGATAGTATTTTGTCAATCGCGACCGTTTGTGTGTTCGCGCCGAGCGTTAGTTTTCATGGTCGAATTTCGAATCTTCTCTCTCTCTCTCTCTCTCTCTCTCTCTCTCTCTCTCTCTCTCTCTCTCTCTCTCTCTCTCTTTCTCTCTCTCTCTCTCTCTCCTTTCTCTCTCTCTCTCTCTCTCTCTCTCGCTCTCTCTCTCTCTCTCTCTCTCCGTATCATTGTTAAACATTGTAAATCCTATTCGCGTGGGTTAGTCTTTCGGCCCATCGAAAACTATAGTTTTTGACTTATAAACGATCTTGATTTTATTCGCCGCATTACGTAATTTCGCTCCTTATTAGTTTAACGGATCCATCACCGGTTAAATTTTAAACCGATTTCATCTAGGGGATTAGTTGGAATAAACATTAGGTCACTTACACCTAAGATAGATCGAGTGTCACAAATCAGGTTACTTAAGGTGAGTTCAATTCTGTTGGAAAGAAGACATAGGAACGAAAGTATCAAACGTAAAGGCGAACACACGTATACTCGTACGTGTTTAACGGAACGGCGGTTAGCTCTGCATCATGGGAGTTTGTTCTTTAAAAAACCTCGTTTGTACTAGATAATCAACCCCGTTACAAGTGATTAGTTTAATCATTTTATTTCCTTGTCATCAGTCCAAAAATATTAATTAGGTACCTTAAAATGACTCTAGTTATTTAAAATAAGAATAGTAAATATGTATTAAACATCTTATTTATTTAAAAATATTAGTTTCTCACGCTTTTCTGATTTTCAAGTGTGAACGAAAATCATTCATGATCAGATCATTATCTTCCTTGCGTTTCATATATCCATTTAAATGTAGGACTTTTTAGAAAAAACTGTTATTTTTAGTGCATAATTAAGTAATATACAAATTATGAACTTACTGTACAAAAGATTTTTGAGTAAAATGGGTTGACCATCTTCACGTTTCCATAATATTCTAGGTGTAGGTCTTCCGATTGCTTTACAGGTCAATGTTGCATTTCCACCTTCGACAACCGATATATCAGTACTCGTCTCATTATTTAAAATATCTGGTGACACTGTGAAAACAATGTTTAAGTATTGTAATCGGAAAATGAAATTATTTATAAAAAAATTATTTTTTACAAGCATCATAAAATGAAGTACAACAAAGTGGTGTTTGAAAGAATAATGTTAATTTCTTTATCAAAAGGAGAATTAGTTAATTATTATTTTTTTATGAATAAAATCACATTAAAAAAATGCAAATGAATTCATAAATCCTCAATCTGGTTTAAGTCTATTTCAGTATCCCAATAAGAGCATTCAATTGAAATCAATAGGAATTTATTAGATGAAAAATTATAAAAATATATTGAATATAGTAAAAGATAGCTAAAATGATTCATCAAAGTAAATGTATTATTCAACTAATTGTAATAATATTTGAAATGCAATATTCCTGCATATCTTGGTATTCAAATCCTCGAAAAAGACGTACTACGAGAAGAGACCTATAATATACAGAAGTATGGCTCGCTTTGGAGATATAAATTTCAAAAATACTATCAGAACGATATTATATTCTCAAACAATGCAACTATGTAACGAAAATATCCGGCCAACACCAATACGGTTACCCGCAACTATACGCACAAATTATTTAAAGGAGGAATTCAGGAGACGCGAATGCACCCACGACTTAATAGTGCGCGGCTGTACGCACTAATCGCTCACTAAGCTCAATTCAGAATACAAAAGAAGTCGGGTTTTGAAATCATTGTGACAGACGCTTAATTTTGAGGCGTTTAGTCGTTAAACTATAAAATTGATACATGCATATGACAAAAATTATATAATTACTTTTCTCTCACAAAAACAAATTTAAGTAGATTCGCATTACTAATAAAAGTAGAAAGAAGAGAAACAAAATTTACAAAACTATTAATCAGCATGCAATACTGTCAGCCAATACTTCGCATCGAACAACTAATTGAAATGGCGGGGCTGGCAATACTATCTAATTACATGCGTAGTTGCCGCATGAACATGCAAGAGAGAGAGAGAGAGTAGCGCGTGTGAAATAAGAAAAGTCCTGATTGGCGACTCATTAAGGATGCACTCGGACACACGCGGTAGAGATCATAGCTTCGTCGTCCTGCTGGACGCACGTGTTTATGTTCATGTCCGCTGCCGTAAAAACTCTTATCCTGCCGATTTAGCTTGCGGCGTTTTCGAGCTAGAATATTTCCAGCGTGCATGTACAGTGCTCGTGGGCAATGACTGGGTGATATTTATTTGACTAAGTAATTGCGTGTGCACCTAGCAAGTTAGTACGATTGCGTCCAGCTATTCGAGCCACTGCACGGCGAGATTCCTGTCCAATCGGCGAGCGTGTTTTCTTTGTAGCTCTCCCGTAGCTTCTTGAGCGCCATCAACATGTAAATACTCGCTTGATTACCAATTCTCTCTCTGTACTACGCCAAGCTTGTCTTTCTTTCACTGCGTACGACGGCTCTGTAAACAGTCCTTTTTTTTGTTATATTCAATTATATATCTTATTCTTATTCTTATGTTACTCACTTTCTTATTATCTATGCGTTCCTGACTTTCTTCGCCCTTTCCTTTGGCGATTTCCCGCGTTGATGATTACATTACGTTATTTTCGCGATTCAAAGCACTACAAGAATCTACGACGCCTCTGTGGGCCCATGGGCAGAAAAACCTTATAAGTGACATTACTGATCGACCGGGCCGGGCTTCGAATAGCCCTGTCGTAATCCGCAACCAACTACATTTCCCCGTCGTCATTAAATCTTATTTATCTTTTAACATCGGGCTTTGCGTTGAGCAGAAACTCCGTTATAACACCAATGTTGTAAATTCATTCTCGGTTCTGCTTTCGTAAAGTTAAATGAAATTTTTTAATAAATGAACTCGCCAGTATACATCATTACCAATTTTGATTTTACAAAAGTTAATTTCATTTCATGAGATCATGAATTTAAATCATTAAAAATATTTAAAAATTTCTTCTTTTTTCGTTGTATTTTTCTTATTTTGGTTTAGTTTCAATTAAAATAAAGATTGAAGGTAAATAAAATAGTAATTTTATTATAAATAAAATTTTCATCATCGTTGATTATCAATCATCAAATTAATCATATGATAATGATCTTTGGCGAATGTTAAAATAATGCCACAACAGTGGATACGATGCTATACTGAATAATTTTCTTTAATCCATTTCGAACCAAGATGACAAAAATTTTACTGAGATTTCTTTCAACGCCATAACTTCTTAACTAAACGCATAAAAAAAATATCGTGAAGTATCAATTCCGAATGTTTAGTCTTTGAATCGAATGCTGCCATTAAAATTAATATAAAATTTTCCTAAAAAAAGTAATTTTACGTTTTTTAACAAAAATTTTCTGAAAAAATGTCAAATTTTTAACATGAAAGAGGGGGGAGCCCAATTTTTGGAAATAATTAAGAGGGTGACATCAGTATCTGCCTTCAAAATCGCATTGAGATTTTTCCTGAATTCAAGATAGCGAATTCAAAAGGTTGAAGTGAAAATGCTGTTTGAAACCTTTAAAAGTCTATAAATGTGAATAATTCTTTGTAAATAGTATATTTCCATTACGAATGAATGACATATGATCGTTCATATATATATATATATATTGCGTTTTTCTATTGTCAAAATACTCTGCCATTGTCCAAATCTTACCAAGTGGTGGTAAACGCGGTTTCAATAGTCTGTTCTTTTTTTTAATTTTTTTTTTTATGAATGTTATTATAATTTGTGAGAATATTGATTTCGTTAACATATAAGAACAGGCGATATAAATAAACAACTTTTTATAATGAATCTAATTATTGCAAAACAATTTCAGTATTGAAGATGAAATCCAAACAGCTTCAATTGCAGAAAGATCAGGCGATGTTTTTTCGTGCCTTATGCTCCCGTATTCAGTGTACTACTGAAAATTCACATTTTTACTGTTTCATGTTGTATATCTCATATAAATTATCATTTGCATATTGTAAACAGGACTTTTTTTTATGTAAAATTTATTCAGTTATCGATTGTAAGGATAAAATAATTTTAAACAGAGTAGTTTTCGAAATATGACACGTACAACACACACACACACACACACACACACACACACACACACGCACACACAAACACACACACAACTCCGCCACCGCCGGTCCCAAGCCCGGGACCCTGCTACTCAAGAAGCAGGGAAGAAGGAGGGGGAGGAGTATCAACCTCGTTAAAAAACCAAGGCTCATCTGGTCCGGATGATAGCACCCTGTTAAAGGGTCCCCGTCCAGGGTAATGGACCCCCCAAGCTGAAAGTGTGAAGCGACCCGTGCCGATGTAGCCTGGTTGGCTCTCGGGGGTAACAGAGAGTCCCAAACGGAGCCTTGGGAGCACCTGGCGAAACTCCCTCGTATCTAGCCTTGTCCCACGCACGCGGGGCTCTGCGTGGGATCGACGACAACTTCCCTAGCTACTCGTGGGACCAACATGAAGAATAATCAATCAAATCAAAAAGAAAAAGACCGCAGTGAAGCTGATAAATGCTTCAAGAGCCTGGAGAGAAAGGTTAAAAAGCTGGTGGAGTTTATTCTAGAAAAAAAGAACCTCCACGCAGAACTGAAGACCATGGCCAGAACGGCAGACTGTATGATAGAGGAGTACGCGAAGCTGCGCGTGCTCTCCTGCCAGGGGGCCAAAAGAAGTACAGAAAACCTGACAGTAAGGGACGATGAGACTGAAACATCGCCCATCTTTAGAGAAAAAGCGAAAAAGCGTGGAAATTCAGAGACGCAATCGCCGACGATCCCGCCAACAACGAAGAAGGCCAACAGCGATCAGGAAAAAACCCTGCTTACAAGGGAGAGCGAAGAAAGAAATGAGATTGCCGAGAATAAAGCCTTCGAATGGAAAGAGGTAAGAAGAAAGGGCAAAACCAAGAAGAAAGAAGAGAAGAGAAAAGAGACCAATAAAAAAGAAGGCACTAGAGAGGGTAAAACCACTAAGACCACGAGCAGGAAGCCTCGCCCAGAAGCTATTAAGATCAAAGCACTGGGCGAGACTTCGTATGCCGACATCTTGAGGAAGGTCAAGGCAGCACCCAACATGAAGGAGATAGGTGAAAGAGTCACCCGAATACGGCGTACCAGAGCAGGAGAACTACTCCTCGAACTGGGGAAACCGGGAACCAGGTCCCCAAACATAGAAGAGATGGTCCTGGCCACACTTGAGGAGTCAGCAGAAGTCCACCTGATGACCGATAAAGAAACCCTCAGGATCAAAGACATGGATGAGACAACCACACCTGAGGAAGTGATAGAAGCTGTAGCTGCAGTTATCGGACCAGAGGCAGCTGCAAGTAGCAGCATAAAAATCAGAGGACTGTACAACGGCACACAAGCGGCACATATCCAGCTCCCGGTAGCAGCGGCCAGAAAGCTACTTGAAAACGGGAAGCTGAGAATAGGATGGGTGAACTGTAGTGTTCAGCCTTACACACCGACACAAAGATGCTACCGGTGCTTGGAGAATGGTCACATCGCAAAGGACTGCAAAAGCGATGAAGACCGCTCCAAGCAGTGTTTCAGGTGCAGAAAGGAGGGGCATAAGGCAGCGGACTGCACGGACGCAAAAACGGAGGGATCTCACCCCAAAAATGACTAAAGTCCTCCAAATCAACCTCAACCACTGTGCAGCGGCTCAGGACCTGCTGCACCAGTTGGTAAGGGAGGAAAAGGCCGACATCGTCATAGTTAGCGAAAAGTACCGTGATCTCGATGAGCCGAACTGGGTGAAAGATGCGACTGGTAGGGCGGCTGTCTGGTTATGTGGACACCTACACGTATCGGCAAGGATGACCGATCCAACCTCAAACTTTACGTGGATAGAAGTGGCTGGCATGCGTATATATAGTTGCTATCTCCCACCTAGCGAAGAGATAAGCGAGTTTAAGAAATCCCTGGATGACATTGTTACCAGCGCAATGACATCACGCCTACCGGTGGTCATCGCAGGCGATTTTAA